GAGTGTAATTCAATAATAAAAACATCATAAAGAATAACACTACAGAAAATGATGAAAAATACCTTAACACTCTCATCAATAAAATGAAAGAAATGAAAATAGAAAATGTACAAACATTAATTACTATATTCAAAGAAAAGAAGCTAACCAATTAATAAGAGAAAATAATAATAATAAGTGGGAAATTTTTAGGAGAAATGAAGAAATGGAAAATAATGGGAAAAATAAAAGAAAGTATATTTATCTGTATTTCCAGAATAAAATAATAAGAGATAAAATTGATGAAATAAAAAAATATATAGAAAAACAATAAAATAGAAAGAATAAACAAAAGAACTTGTACAAAATAAAAAGGAACAAGAATTGAAGAAATTCAAAACAATAGAAAGAATAAATAAAAATCAATTAATTAAGTATTAATTAGAATTAAATTCTATTGTTCTTGGCTCAAGAGGAGACTAATCCTATCCCTTTATCTAACAATAAAAAGATAAAATACATAAAATATATGATGACAATGACTAAAGAAATAAAATGAATAAGAAAATGTCAGAAACAATAGAGATATAAAATCATGTTTGAATCTAATAAAAAATTAAAATAAAGAAGAAAAACAGAATGAAATAAATAACATAATGATATTAGAATAATATAAATAACATAATGATATTAGAATAATATAAATGAAATATTGTATAAAAACAGAATTAATGATAAATAATATAAATAAAAAATAAAACATCAAGTTGAATAAAAAAATAAAGAAATTATGATAATGTCATTATCACAATCAATATTTTAAATTTAATTCTAAAGAAAAATAAATAAAATATTCATTAACACAATATAAAATCAAGAGAAGATAAAGATAAAATATATGGAAAATGGATAAAAGAATAAAACTAATCTAATAATGATATGAATATTATTTCATATTACAATAACAATAGAGATAAATGAAGAAAAGAAAATGATTATAAAGAACTAAAGAATAGAATAAAGAAAAGTTAAAATAAATGAAGTAATAAATTGAAATAAATGATTCAGAAGATATTAAATTAAATAAAGAAATAAAAAATGAAAAAGATATTATAAAAGAAATTAAAAACTTTATACTAAAAACATGACTACTGAATGTCATGAAACATTAACTCTATCACATTCAAAAATATTTTGTAGTACTTCTAGATGAAGATTCACTATTCAAATGATTCTCATTTATTCAATAAATATTATTACTTTTCTATTTTATTTATTTTTGAAGTGATGATAAACCTAATAAAAAAGAAATTTATTCATATAAATTATCATTGATATTATTTTAATAATTATGCCAATAAGTCATCATTTGATATTATAATTTAAAATAGTTTGTTAAGAATTTTTATTTGGTTAACAATCAAAAACAGAAGAATAATTATTTCATTTGAAGTACAATAAATCTATTGACAACAAACTCTTTTGAAGAGAATGAGCCAATAAAATTTCCTTTTCTTGTTTCAATACATTTTTGAATATCAAGAGAAACAGAACTAATTCCTTCAACAGGGTTTTTCTGGATATTAATATACCTTCCTAATTGGAAGATAGTTTTATCATTATCATAAGATATCCTAAAAACTTCCCTTTCTTGAACTCCCTTAAGGAATTTATATACCCAAAAGAATTGGTCTTCAGCAAAACAATAAAAGAAAGAATGAATATCGCCATTCCAACCTTCTTTTTTAAATGGATGATTAATATAACACCCAAATGGTTCATAATAAATAGGAAAAACAACAACCATCAATTTTTTTAGTCCTTCTAGCTTTTGACCTAAAGTATATTTATCCCAACCATCAAGATTTGAATCATATATTTGAGTCGAACTGTTTGCACAAACCCTATTATATACTTTACTTATACAACGATAAATAAGGGATTCATTCATTTCATTTGTTCTTTCAATTTTTTGTTTTGACTTTCTTTCACTTATTGGTTTGACAATTGGTTTTTTCTCTTTAGTGTAATTGTTTTGTTCTTTGGGTGAATATTCCCCATCACTTTCTATAAATGTTAATGGATTTCTTTGTGAGTCAATTGCTTTCATCTCTTCATAACATCTTTCTTGTACAACTCGCATTCTTCTTACTTCTTCATTTTGTTTTTGGATTTGACGTGCAGCTAATTCAGCCATTTCTTGGAACTGAATAATAAGTTGTTTTCTTTTATTAATCATAACACTACAATTGTCAGAGAGATTTTCTAATTCAGAATATCTTAGTTCTCGAAAATTATTACATTTAGTTCTTCTGTCAAAATCATCAAAGTCAGCTGATACATATTCCCATAATTGTTTGTATCTTTCAAAACAATGGTCGATATCTTCTTTAATTCTTTTACCTATTGCTTTTGTTTTAAGTATTTGAAAGTCCATTAATTCGAAGATTAAATCTTTTTAAGTTCAATTTTCATGGTTTTCGTTTATGATTTAATTGTTATTAAAAATATGTATTAAGTATTTTTAGAAAACCCAATAAAACAAAAAAAATTATATAAAACACAATTTAAGTAAAGAAGGATTTACACAACGTTCAGGAGATGATAAGACTTTATTACAATTAGTTGGTACATCTTCAATGTAAGAGACTGAAAGACCATGATCTAATATATCACTAATTTCAGAGTCCTCTTCATCTTCGTATAATTCTTCCAATCTTTCAATAAGACGATCTATAGTAAGTTGTCCAAGAACAGGTACATGAGTAGTAGGTGGATTATTTCTTTCTTGAGAAGGTTTTTTAGGATGAACACGAAGTTCAATAAGAGAAGAGTCGCTAAGTCGTGGCATATTAGAATTAATGAAATGATATATAAGATGTGAGAGAAGAATAAATAGTGCAGTGATTGTAGAAAACAAAACTACTTTCATTTTAAGGTTTGTATAATTCTGTTGAAAAGAAGCTTAAAATAGTATTTTTTTCATCTACTTTCAAAAAAAGTATCTTGTAATTAAACTTCTTCTTCTGCTATCAGCTCTACTCTTTTCTATTCTATTTTTTGCTTTGTCCTATTAATGAATTAGAAGGTGTTATGAAAACGAAGAATACCCCTTATGAAGGATATTTTCTTTTCATTTTCATTTTCTTTCAATAGGTTAAAAATACTCTTTTTCTTACTAAAAAAAAAGTTAAATTATTATAGAAATCCACTTCTATTGCGTCGGAATTTTATTGGTATGATTTGAATTTAAAGTTAAAAATAAAATTTAACGAAAAGATTCATGTTTTTCTTTTTCAGGAAAATAATTTTTTTCTAATTTTGTTATTTTGTTAGTTGTTGACAATTTGATACTAATTTTAGTTCTTCATGCTTCTACCGAATCCTTCTTCGGTTTTTTCTTATCTACCACCAAATGAATCTTTCTTCTCGTTTTCATTTTTACCTTAAACATTATATTTCAATATATCAACGAATAGTTGTTTTAGATTCAACAGCAAAACATTTCGAAGATTTAATTGCAGAAGAAATTAGTAGAAATTTAAATATTACAATTTACTATTTTATTAGCTTGTTTTTTAATAATAATAGAAAAAATAATCATTTAAGATTCAATAGTCAATTTAGTTAATCTATTTATTCATATTTTTGAATTAAAAATTCAAGAAGTATGTTATGAGCATATACTGCCTTTTAGTGATAATGATATTAATTTTGTTTATTATTTGAATTAAATTTATATTAAGCAATAGTTAATTGTTTTATAAATAAAAACAGTATCAATTATATCATTTAATCCCAAAACAAAATAATATTAAATGATTATTAATAAAACAAACATTCTTAATGCATAGCTATGTTTTTAATTATTCTTTTAATTTATAGGATAATAGAAATGATGTATTGCCATTTTTATATCTAAATGGTTATTCTAATAGACTTGTTAAATGAGTTTTATTTATATTAGTTAGTCTATGAGTTATTTGTTAACTTCTATGAAAGAATTAGACTCTTTATAATAAATTTGATGTGTTTAAACGAATACCATTTAATTGAGATGAACTTTTGTTTGAGAATAGATTATTTATTTAATTTTATTTTGTATAATAGTTATATTTTGAAGACATTTGTGTTTAAAAATAATCACTATATTTTTTATTTTAAACTAGGAGAAAAGTGTTTCAATAAAGTATTAATATTATTACATACAAAATACATTTAATAAGTTTCATAAATCACAATAATGTTAAATAATGATTAAAAAGCACTGTATTTTTATCAGAATAATATTTCTTTACAAGTAACTGAGTAAAACATAACTTTTTAAATAAATTTATTAATTCTGTTATATAAAGAAATAGAATTTACTATCATAGCTTAATGAACAATTTATTATATGTTTAACCGTATTATCATAAATGTATCAAAAAAGCTATTAATAAAAAGCTACTTATTATCTTTTGATATTATAATTAAATATCAGTGCTACTCTAAACAGAAAATAACAAATCAGAAAAGAATTAAAATTAGTACAATCGATAGTATTAAAGAGTCGGTGTGTAAAATGTCTGTGGATCAATCAAAACCTTGTTTGGATTCACTGGAGTATCTACATAAAAGTCACCGAGATTTTCATGTTTTAGAATAGAAGAAATTTCATCGTCCAGCGTATTATCATACTTTTGTTCAAGAGTTTGAATTAAGTCATCCAAATATGGATTAATTACTATTGAAGAGTCATCATGAGCAGGTAAGTCCCATTTTAATGTTACTAATGCTGACCTGTCAGACATAAATGAAAAAATGTTAGATGATTCAGTTTAAAAATATGGTTTTATGTCAATATTCAAGAACTGTTATTAGTGTTATTCTTTTAGAATAAAAACTTATAAATATATACAAAAATACTTCTAAAATAACTCCAAACCCTTTTAAAATACTCTTCTGTAATTTGTTTCCTCCCTATTGATACTTCCAAAAATCGAGTTTGCTGTTTTCATGCAATAACCAAATTTATACCAATGTCATTCTTGTTAAGAAAAATTGTTTTTAAAAAATGTGATATAAAACCTTATTAATGTAAAAATGAAAAATAAAAAAGAACTTAAAAAAAACTAACCAAAAAAAAGAGAAAAGAGAAATGAAAGTATATGACGATGAAGACAATATTGGAGTCCTTGAACAAACTATCTTTCCTGATAAGGGAGTCCTTTACCAACAACGTATTGTTTGTGCTGAACAAAAAATTAATCTTGTCCAATGTCGATTATTCCTTACTAAATTAATTGCTGTTTTTAACAGAGGAGACACATTCACTCAAGAGGAAGCAACTGAATTATTCTTTGCAACAACAAAATTATTTTATTCACCAAATGTACCATTAAGGCAATTATTATTTACTGCTTTAAGGTCAGTAATTCCATATGCATGTGATGTTTTTGTTGTAATGAACTCACTAAGTAAGGATGCTACTTCAACCTATGACTTCCAACGATCTTCTGCTTTAAGAACACTTGGAATGATTTTAACTGATCAAACTATTAACTCTTTAGAACGTCATTACAAACAAGGAATTGTAGACAAAATACCGAATGTTTCAGTTAGCGCTTTATCTACTGCATGTAAACTTGCTCTTACTCATGCAGATGTGGTTGCTAAATGGATGCCAGAAATATCAACAGCACTTTCATCAAGTAATCATTTAGTACAATGCCAAGCAATAAGACTTCTTCATATTCTTAAAAAACATGATCGTGTAGCATTAATTCGTTGTGTAGTTACTTATGGTAAAGAGAAACCATTACGTTCTCCTTATGCACACGTTGAGTTATTAAAAATCTGTAAAGACATTCTTATTGGAGAAAGAGCTTTTAGCAAAACAGTACTTCCTTTGGTTGAATATATTCAAACATCAATGAGACCAAATAATGATTTAGTTGCATTAGAGGCTATTAAATTGGCATCTCAACTTGAATTAGATGCTGCTCCACAATCTCTTTCTGCACAATTAATGAATTCTATTCAAGTCTATCTTCAAAGTAATAAAACTATTCTTCGATTTGAGGCTATTAGAGTTGTAAGTGAAATGAGTTATAGATATAATGAATTGGTATCAACAGTTAGAATAGATGTAGAAAGTTTATTAAGAGAAAGTAATAGAGCTATTCTTACACTTGCCATTGCCACTTCATTAAACATTTGTAATGAGTCTAGCATAGATGGATTATTAAATAAAGTTGCTAAATTTATGTCTGAATTACCTGACTCATTCAGAACAAAAGTTGTTAATACTGTAGAGAAGTTAGCTGAACGTTATCCAAGTAAATATCTTACGTTGTTATCTTTCTTAAGTCATTCCTTAACAATTAAAGGAGTAAAATTCCAAACTGCTGTAGTTAATACTATTCGTCGTTTATGTATTATTCAGCCACGATGTAGAGAAACATCATTGACTACCTTAGCTGATTATATTGAAGATTGTGAATACCCAGAAATTATTATGAAAGTATTTTCTTTCATTGGAGAAGAAGGTCCTCACTCAAAAAAGCCAATGAAATATATAAGGTCTATTTATAATAGACTTTTACTTGAATCACCTACTATTAGAGCTGCTGGTATCACTACATTAAGTAAATTTGCAGAAGTTCCAGAGTTAAAACCCAATATCATTGAAATATTAAAGAAATGTGCTTATGATGAAGATCAGGAAGTCAGAGATCGTGCTTGTTTCTATAGTGTTTTCTTAGATACTCCAAAAGTTGAAACTCCTGTTATTACTAGTCAAACTGATATTGATGCTCTCCAACATGTTCTTGAACAATATATTAATGGTGATTGTGAAACACCATTTGACTTAGAAGAAGAGTCTAAGAAAACTATTATCGTTGAACCTATCAAAGAAGAAGAAATTTCAAATGAAGTCAAAAAGGAACAAGAAATTATTGAAGGTTTTGGAGAAGTTATAAAGAAGAGTGAAGTTACATTAACAACAACTGGAAGTGAGTATGATGTTGTTTGTAAGAAGATGATTTATAAGAATAATGTTGTATTATTATATTCTATTACTAATACATTAACTGATTATTGTTTGTCTAATGTCTCCATAGAAATTGGTATTGAAAAAGGAGATTATAAAGTTATTGAACAAAGCACAATTTCTTCACTTCCTGCACAAGGAAGTGATATCATTAAAGTGGTATTAGACAGACCAGATAGTTTGATTGGTACATTTTCAAATAAGTTAATATATACATTAAAAGAAAATATTGAAGATGATACAGGAGATGAAGATGAATATATTATTGATAATGTCTCTTTGAATTTAGCTGATTTTGTTAGTCCAGTTGAAATTGAAGATTGGAACGTTCAATTTGAATCACTTAGTAAAGAAGCAAATAAAACACAAATATTTAAATTCCCAGCATTCAAAAACTTACAAATTGCTGTTGACAAATTAAAAGAATTATTTGGACTAAATGTTATTAATGGATCTGATGATGCTAAAAAGGCAGTTAAGAAACATGTACTATTACTTGCAGGAAATATTTTGCTAAAAGAACCAGCAACTACATTCATTCGTTTAAGAATGCTTTGTGATGAAAAAGGGGTAACTGTAGAAGTATGTATTAGGTCAACTAACACATCAATACCAGATATGCTATTAGCATTATTATAAGTCACAGACTTTAAATTCTTTATGTTTTTTTATTGAAAGAAATATGCAATAATATAAACAAAACTAAATTAATGTAGTATTTCTTTAACAAAAATATATCTTCTAATTTATAATTCTAGTTTCTGAAACAGGTTGTGATAATCTTTTTGTGATTTATATAACAAAATATTATTTTGTTATTTAAAAATTAATAACAAAAATTAAAGAAAAACATTCCTCTTTATTAATTTGATAATCATTTATTTCTACACTAATCCAAAAAAATGAAATAAATCATTTTGGAGTTATAGTAATTCCATACTCTTTTATACAATTTTTTTAATTAGTTTTTATCAAAGCAACGTATTAAAATCTTATTTGTTTAATAAAAACTTTGAAATATTAACATATATTTTGTAATTATATTTACAACAATTTCATTAAACAAATTTGGTTTCTTTAAACTAAGATAATTTTTATGTAATTTAAAATATGACATAAAATATTCTAAAATGAGACTATAAACAATTTCTATGTTTTATGATATTTCATTTATTATTTAACTCTTTGATTGTATTAATAATTGATTGAAAACAATGTTTATGAATATCGTTAACTCATTGATTCATTTATATTATTATTATTCAATATTTCATGTTACATCTCGTACCCTCTCATTTTCTCATAGTTCATAATTACTCAACAAATAAAATTGAAATTTACTTTTAATAATGAATATTTCATTTAAATTATGTTGATATTTCGCAGTAAATCATTTTTAAAGTGTTTTAAATCTTTCAAATAAATAATAATATATTAAACTATCATTTTATGTCATTTGAATATTAGAGATATTGTTATTAATTAATTGATGAATGAATTGTATCAGGTATCAGTTTGTGTATTGAATAAAATTGAATATGTTTATTTCTAACTTCTTATTCATTTTCTGCTTAAATTGAATGAAAGTTAATTGATTTAAATGAATATTATCATATCAAATAATATCAATGATTATCTCAGAATATTATTTGTTTTTTATCAGAATTAAAATAAGATAGAATGATTGTATTTAAATGCCATTATATCAATTAATAATCATAAAATTCAATTTATTAATATCATTAAAACCATTCTAATTAATTTTAAAACAAATATATTTGAAATAAACCACTTAAATATTGTGATGTTAATAAATGATAAAAGAGATAGTATAAATATCATTAATATTAATTTATAAAGATAAAAATAATGAACAAAAATGAAGATAAAGAAGAAATATATTTTA